ATTCCCAGTGTTGGCATCCTAGTCTGGCATGCTAAAAATACACCCTGCACTGCTGAGAGGAGCAGCACAGTAAAACAAGCCTCGTGCTCAACAGAATAAACCCACGCTGATGAGAAGAGCTTGATCTCCACTCCTCCAGCCCCCTCTGCCATTCCATGAGCAGGGTCCCCTCCTCACTCCACAGCCAGCCTGGGGTGGGTTTTGGTGCCCCAGCACCCAGCAGAGCACGTGTTTGCAGCTCAGCCTTGCCCTCCCTCCCCAAGGGAGCAGCTTCCTCCAAGAGCCAGCACCACACTCCTGTTGCTATAGGAACACCAGAGCTGCAATCACCCAGGTCTCAGCATAATTCCCATCTCCTGCTTCCAAACTGCACTGCTTCCATTTCCAGACCTGCCAGAGCCCAGTGCCAGCCCACCCTTCAGGAATGGAAGGAACTGGGGAAGGGGAAACGTGGCTTTCATGCAGGAGATGCCCCTGAGCAGAAAACTTCCCGAGAGGCACTTTGCTTGTCCTCAAAAACATGTGAGAAAGCCTGAATTTCACCATTTTGAGCTGGAGAAACCTAAGGAGTGTGAGCTGCCTTAGCTCTTGCTGCAATGCAGGCAAGACCAATATGTTAATATCCCAAAACAGCTCCTGATTCCAGCCCCTCTCTAGCACACACACTGGTTGAACAGAGATGCCTCTGGGTTCCTCAGTTATTCCTGGTGCCCTAAAAACAAAGCAACAAACAACCCACAGATGCCAGATAAAAAGCTCCCCAAGGAAAGAAAAGCACCCTGTATTTTACACTTTCCTAAAGGTGTTAACAACACTGCAGCAATGACTGAACACTAAAATGGTTATAAAAAAATGCGAGCATGACATTAATGTCAGACTCTTAATTAATACTACATTTAAGTATTAAATACCTTATTTTGGAGTTTTATAACTGTTGTTTTAGATGTTTATAACTGCTGTTCAAGCTTTGCTGGGTTACTGAGAGCTCATCCCCTCTGCTACCAGTTCACCTTGCAATGGATAATAAAGTATTTTTAATACATCAGATAAGCCTTCTCTAGAGAAGAGTATCAAAGTCAACACACTGAGGGACTCAGCACTTCCTGAGAGTCTGGAATACACTGAAAAGAAAGGGCAAATAGAGTTGGAATTGAAAAGAAAGGGAAAAAAAAGACTATTTTCAGACTGGAGTACACTTTCTGGCCATTCAAAATCCCTTCACGGATCTGTTGCTCCAATACATGTTGCAGCACTAAATGTGAAGAGTTTAGAACACAAATTAGAAAGATTTGCACTGATTTCCACTTGATATCTGCTCCAACACCTTAGAAGGCTGGGATATATCCCATTACTACCTGATTTACACAAAGATACTCTGAATATTTGAGCTGCCTGTCAGGAAAACAAGATTCACTCCAAGAGCAGGCAATTCTTCAGGAGTGGAGGTGTTCCAGATGTAAAGGGAAATCTGTAAACATCTGAACAGATGAATTCCTTTTGAAAGCAAGATAAGAAATAAAGAGATAAATAATATAAATTTCTTCTCTTCCAGTAAAAATAACCACAAACTCAAGGAGAGGCTTAGCCTTCAGGCTCACTTAGCAATTACAGAGGTATTCTAAGATGCTTCTTGATCAAAATTAGCCATTAACTTCCACTGCTGGCCCCTAAGACAGCAAGCAGAGTATCAGGGAGGAACTTCAAGTATCAGAGATATTGTTATTAACAGTGGCTCACTGAGGGTTTATGGCACAAGTCTGAATTCAGCAGGGACAGTGTCAACTTCTTTCTTCAAGGCACTGGCACATCCCTGCAAAAATGGACACAGAGGCTGCAGTGACTCCCTGTGGTCAAACAGGCTCTCACAGAGGACTGGCAGATCTGTATCAGAAATCCTGGTGGGCAGCACCATCCCCTGCCAAGCTCATCCCCTGCCTCAGGTCACTGCTGGGAGGCCACCAGCCAGCCCTTCTGAGCCAGCACTGCATGGATGCACAACAAAGCAAAGCATCAAAACTGTAATAGAGGCTGTGAGACACTTAAAAAATTCTAGACTATCCATCTTCTATACTCTTGTCAAAAAAAAAAAAAAGCAAAAAACAAACCAAACCAATCCCAAACAACCTTCCTGTAACTCTGGAGCCAGACTCCAGCATTTTGGAGCTGAAACCTGCAGGTGCATAACAAAGCTCTCAGAGTGCTAATGCCAAGGATGTCATTCCTTTTTTGGGGGGGGAACAAAATGAGGATGTGAAGTCAGCTCAGTGTATTTTGTGCCTGCTGGAGAATAGTGGCTCTAAAGATAGGTCTGGGACAAGTCAGGCTGTGGAACAAAGGGTTGTGAAACCCTCTGAGGGTCAACTCCTTGGAAGTTACTCCTTAAATAACACACCTTTTGTTGTTAAGGCAAGTTGCATTAAAAAAAAAACCACAAAAAGCCACAGGAGATTCAGTGGAAACAGCAGAAAAGCAGGGAAGAAAATTCCTGTGAGCAACCCTGGAGCACACGGAGCAGTCGGTGTGAGGACTCATGGGTTTTTCAGCACAAGATAATGCCATCTAGTGGAGATGGAATCTCCCTCAGGGTGGAAAAACTGGACACTCCTGTGACTGTATTCCTGATTTCCAGTCATTTCACAGTGGCCCCTTCCTGTGTCACCAAGCCCAGGATGCAGCAGAAGGGACAGACAGACAGACAGACTGAGATTGCTGCTGTGGAGCCCCCACAAAGGGCAGCAGCAGCACTGGTTGAGAGAAACCTGGAGAGATTTCTGAGGAAATCCAAGTGCTGAGCAATAAATTGCAGCTGCAGCTTTGTCTTTCTCCAAAAGTATTTGGTTATGTTTCCTCAATTCCATTTGTACTCCATGCTTTTCTCTCCTTCATTTGGAGAGATGGCCCCTCTGAACGTGAAAAGAACCAACATCCTTTCCCACTTCTCTAAATATTTAACTATTTTCTTCCTTTGTTGTTTTCCCCCCACCATCAAGAAAAATCTTAACGGTCAGGCCACCAGTTTAATTATAATTTGGGAGGACAGAAGGTAGATTGTGGGGTCAAATCTCCCAGGAAAGACATGAGAGTCTCAGATTAGATCCAAGCAAGCATCCCCAGGGAGGGTTTCACTTCCCTATGGACAAAGTTTTAAGAATCTTCAAGGACTTCATGAAAATGATGACAGAGGAATCAGTTGCCAACTGTTCAAATATGGGACAAAGACCACTTTTTGAACAGCATGTGAAGCTCTTACATTTCCTGCATTGCCTGATTAGTGAGTTGAGCAGCAGACTAAGGAATTCTTGGTCTTTCTTTCAGTAACATTTTAAAAGTCACATCAAAATTCAATTTTTTCAGTCTGCAAGGTGGGAGAAATATAATTTCACAGACAGTAAAATGAGACAGTTTAGACAGTGAGTTGGATCAAGGTGTGCAGGAACAGAGCTGTAGGAAGGATCTGTGTCCCCTGGCTGGAGTTCTCTCATCTTTGCCAAAGTGCAGGTAATTCCACATGGATTTGCACTGTTAAAAATGAAACTTTTCTAAGGACAACACTGAAAAATGCCAACTGCAGCTAAGGCACTCTCTTAACTGAATGTGTCTACCTCAGTTCTTGACAAGAAACTGCCAGATTTCCCCTTTACACTGGTAGGAGAGTTGAAGAATCCTGAGCCAAAACATTCAAGTGTATCTACCTCCACCAACCCCCAGCTATGTGAGGAATGAACACACAGGCTTAAAACAGAACAGCAAGTTTGTGCAGGTTGTGTTTCTAATGCATTTCTAAATGTCTCAGATCTATATTAAGTTTCTGCTCAGCTCAGTTCTGGCATTGGAGCCTCACAATCTTCCTTCAGTAGCAAAGTGTGCATTATGAACGTGATCTGGCACCAGGCCTGGGCAGGGGAGGGAAATAAATTCAGTGAGAAACATTCAGGTCCACGAGAGATTAGTGGAACTCACAGCAGCTCCACACAGTTGTTTACCAAGACTTCTGCAAAGAATTAACAAAACCAGCACGTAGTTCATCCCCTTAATGGGAATCTAAATAAACCAAAGCAGATTTGCAAACTTATTACGTGTCTGCTGCCCCTGTCTGGGAATTAATTACGTTGTGCAAATTAAAGAAACGCAATGGGAAACAAATTCCTCCTATTGTCAATCTTTCCCTCTCACTCTGCTGAAATAGTAACATTGCACTTCACTTTCACACTCATGGAAATGTGAAAAAGCAAAGATGTTGACAGATGATTCCCTTTTATTTTGTGACAATAGTGTTATCAAGCAACTGGAGTCACAGTAACTAAATTATCACACGCCTAACACATGCTGTTGTACCTTAGAAATCTGTATTTACTTTGCATTTTATTTTGTTATGAAACTCCCAGTTTGAAGAGTACAAAGAAAGTGCTTGCAAACCACCCCCAGCCTTGTTCCTTTTTAACCACAGATGTCCAGTGTAAGAATAAATATAAAAACTCAAATGATCTACATCTTATGCACAGGGTCTATACTGAATAGATGAAGAACTAGAGGGACCTTTGCATAACCAAATTTTCCTGCACACAGAGAAAAAGAATCAAGTTATGAGATTAAAATCTATTTCTGTTTAATGTATTAGACAGGGCAGGAAGCTCTATACATGCATTTACAGCTCACAGGACTTTGGCCATCAGTCTTTTGAGTTATCAGGGTAGGAAGCTCTATACCTGCATTTACAGCTCACAGGACTTTGGCCATCAGTCTTTTGAGTTATCATGGAGAATAAGGTGTTTAAAAATGCTCTTCTTCCTAATTAATCTCAGGTTTAGTGCAGACTGACTTCACCTGTTAAAATAAAACCACCTGTTGACCAGCTCACTGTCGTTCTCTCCCAAAGCCACAGTTTGCACATCCTGGATTGCAGGGGGGTTAATGCAGAAACACAGGCACCTAAATTTGGTGTTTTATGAGAGTGCCCTCACAGATTAAACAAAGCCAAGGCAAGGAAGGTCAGTACTCACCCTGGTCAATGGAGTGCTGGGGAAGCTGGCTGAGCTGGCTGTTCACTACCCCTGCGTACGTGCGCAAGAACTCCTCCTCGCTGGCCGTCAGCTGGGGGGGACAGGCAGTCAGCAAAGGGCGAACCAGGACACATCATCTCCCACTCCCCAAGAAAACATCACAGCTGCCTCTGTTCTCCTTCCAGCGCTTTAATCACCTGTTATTTGTGCAGCTCTACCCTCAGCAAACTGAGATGTGAATTCATGGGCAGACTCAAAGTCACCTTAAAACTGTCACTTTGCTTTGCTGTTTTTCTAATGAGGAAAAGCTTTAAATCTAAACATCTGATCATTTATCCATACATGGCAGTTTCAGGCATCACAAGTCTCATAATATTTAAGCAAAAATCAATTGTGTTTAACTGCAGATAATGGTTAAATCAGCAATGGCTAAAACAATTAATGTAAAACCAGACCCTCACCTGCCCATCTCTACAAGCACTATCCCAGTTACTACAAAAATGTCTGGAAGGCCATAAAAAATGGGCTATGAAGTACATCTTACATTTGATCCCATCTTCCTCAGCATGAGTAGAACTCTCACTTTCTGCTGGATGTACATCTCCTCCGGACTCTTTCCGGGGACGCCCTCACGGTTCATTCCCCTCCTGCCAGCTCCTGGATTTCCTGAGGATCACAAGAAGACAAACTAAAATAGTTAGTGGGGCACAAAAGGAAGAGAAGTTTCATTTACCTGTTTTTCACCAGCTGGCAGATCACTGAATATCCTGGGAGAACAAGGAATCACATCCTTCATCGGAGAAATCCTTAAAACTGTGAACAGCTAAATCGGGCCTTACATATGCAAACATTCACTGAGGCTGATGTTCACATCCCCAGCAGCTCATTATCTGTGGTTACCTTACTGCCTGAGCAGAAGAAGAATTCTAACAACCAGATGAAAGGTTCACCCTGACAGAAGAGACCGTGGTTTGGGGTGTTTTCCATAAATAAGCACAACCAGAATGAAAACAGGATGCAGAAAGCACAGCCATCGAGCCTGCAATGGCTAAACAAAAGCTGTGTGAAATCTAAGCTCTTAAGTCTTCCTCCTCTCTCTTTTTATTTTTTCCTTTATATATCATGTAAAAAAGGCCACTGCACTTCTGTAAAAGCTACTACAATTTATGAAATGGTTTTGGAGAGAAAGAAGAGCCAAGAGGAGCAGGAAAGGAGTAGAGTTTATCATCTTTCTCCTATCATTTCAAACGCGAACTTTTGCTTTTTTATTTTAATAAAAAATAATGATGTTACGGAATAAACAGCCTGTGCTATCTGAATTCTATAGCACAAAGCATGATTATACTTTGTTATGTATCTGGTCATTATTTAAGTTCCACAACAGGGTATTTACCAAGACAAAAAAACCCAAAACCAACAGAGATACTCTTCAGCTGCTCTTAAAAGTGATCCTGAAGTTTATTAAGTCAACAATAGCAAAAACATAAACTGAAATTTAGAAAATAATGGGGCTTCAAATAACACACTTTTAGAGCAGCATCACAAACTGAAGTAACCTCTTACAGGTGCTGTGGGTTGGGAAAATGTAACCCCTGCCAGGCCCTGGAGGGAGATGGAGAGAGACTGTTTACAATCCTGGAGTGCCAGGACAAGGGGGAATGGCTTCCCACTGAGAGAGAGGAAGTTTAGATGGGATATAAGGAAGAAAATCTTCCCTGTGAGGGTGAGGAGGCCCTGGCACAGGTTGCCCAGAGAAGCTGTGGCTGCCCCAGCCCTGGAAGTGTCCAAGGCCAGGCTGGATGGGGCTTGGAACAACCTGGGCTAGTGGAAGGTGTCTCTGCCCATGGCAGGGGGTGGAATGGGATGGGCTTTAAAGTCTTTTCCAACCCAAACCATCCTGTGATTCCATGATTGTGGATGGAGGTGTGAGCCAGCCCCTCCTGCACCACACACAGCTCACAGAAGTGGCTCCAGAGCAGGTCTCCAATTGGTTTTCATCCCCAGAACTGGGTCTGGTCCCACACCAAGCGATAAATCTGACTTCCTGAACCTCAGTAACCAAGGGAATACACTACCCAAGGCTGCCTTAGTGAAGGCTCTACCCCAGCAGGTTCAAACACTGTTTTCCCTGTAATGTTTTCCTGCAGTCATTACCAACCTCTCACTTCATTTTCATTATGACTTTTAAGGGAAAGTAATCTGGGTGTGGAAACAGTTTAAAATTACACATAGGCCCTCCTGAGTGAGTCAGAAGCAATGCAAACTTCAGCAGCAGCTGCTGGGATAGGCTTTGCCACCCACATTACTGAGCATGGAGATAACAGCAGTAAAAAGTGAGAAAGATCCACCACAGCCCTTCCTGAACAAGTTTCAGTGGGAAGACCTGCATGAAGCTGATTTGCTGTTGATGGTTCTGCCTGGAAACTTGCAGCCTGTACATGTGCAAGGTGATTTTTTGATTTTTTTTTGGCCATAATCAGCAAACTGCTCCCTGAAGGAAGAATAAAACAATCCCCTATTTCTGTGTAGTGTCAACTCAAATAAGTAAATTGGATTATGTTACTGAGCACATACTCCACAGTACAATTTACTGAGGATGCCACCAGTAAGACAATGAACAAAACCAGGGCAAGAGACACTAAGTTATGTTTATCCAGAGACTGATAAAACAATAAACATTTATCAAGATACCAAGTCAGGCTGAAAGGTTGTGACTGGTTCTTAATATTATATATAATTTTTTTAAAAAAATATTGTTACTTGAAAAGGGAAGGTGCTGTACTAGTAACCAATCAACTCAGGAAAGAAAAACCATGACAGCAAAACCCTGAAATGTAGTAACACATCTGTGGTTTAAAAATGAAACAAAATATATGGGATATCAATAGGTGGCACCATCCACAAGCACCAAGAAAATGCCCTGGCTGCCCCTGTGCCAGCAAGGAAGACCCATCCACTTCAACACTCCTCTACACATCAGACACTGTGCAGCCTGTACATGTTATTATTCATTGTTTCCCATCATAGTTATATTCCAGCTGTTTATTAATTCTCAAACTTTAAAAAGGGGTGATGGAAATTCCTGTCTAAACCTGCTTTTTCTAAAGGAACCTTCAGCCAAAACGGATTTGTCACAAACCCACCTATTTAATAGGAAGGGTTAAGATCCTGAAGCCTGAATGCTCCACATGGTGAGCAACATGGGGGAAAAAAGCACTCAATATGGCCCAAAATATATATATAAAGAGATTAAATTAAACTGCTTTTCATTCACCACACAGTCATTTTGGTCAACAGCCTCAACCATCACAGCTCTTCATATTTGGTGACATCAGAGTGGAAAGACAAGAGTCTTTAAACAGCACTGAGACATATCTCTGCTCCTGTTACATAAAGCTTTCATAAGACAGGGTTTAGGATGACAATAGCACCCAGCAGATATTACATCAGAGTTCCAAACCCACGTACAGAGCTGCTCCATGCCCAGACAACAACACGATCCATCTTTACAAAGGACAGACTGAAAAATCTTATCAAAGTACTTCTCAGCTTTGTTTTCTCAAGAAAGCTACATTAATATGCTCTACATAACAAAACATTACTCAAGCAGCATTTCCCTGCCCCTACAATCCTTTCTGGCACATGGATGAAGTCGTTGTTGCCCCATCCCCAACCAACAAAACCATCAGATTTCCCTGCCAACGTACCTGCTTCTAAAAACCACAGCAGATGAGATAACCCACGTGTTCAGTCCTGATTAGTGACTGGGGCTGGGAAAAATGTATGAGGAAACTGCCCTGTGAAAACAAATGAGCAAAGCATTACAGAAATATCCACAGCTGAACCCCAGAAAGACCCTTAATTCCATATGCCCTGAAATCCCAGTCTGCTTCAGAACACGGCCTAGGTAAAATTCATACAACTGCAGCTTGTCTGGAGCCTGGAGACCCTTTTTTCTGTCTAAAGAGTAAGTTTTTAAAAATTCAAGCCATTCTTCATCTGCAGGATTTCCACCCTGACCATACCAGTGACGTTCCCAACCCCTTGAGAACAAAATGCATTCAAGCTTTGCATTCTTTAGGAAGATTTCAGCATAAACCCCAATCCCTTGGAAAAACAGACAGACATTGTGACATGGAGTTTCTTCTAGTAAAAACCCCAAAATAGGCATATCTCACCAAGGATTTGAGGAGAACTAGGGAGAAATGTAAAGCATGCTGATTTTGACCAAAATTATTGTTTTCAACTCTGCCTGTGTCATCTGAATACAGCAATTCCAAAGACTGGCACTGGAAAGCTGGGCTGGAAAACCCTTTGCACAGAGTTTTTCAGACTAACTTCACTGTTCAGTCCCCAGCAGCCAGAAACAGTTATTTACTTCTAGTTTTCAGATTTGTGACATATTTCTGAACATATTTTACAACTGGGTCTCAGGGCATGGTAAGAATTCAGTACTTCCTACCCACCCCATCAGCCTCTAAGACAAGCAGCTCAATGTCACAAATGAAGTGACAGTTCAAACCCTCTGTAACAGGCAATGGAACAACAAGTGCCACCACCCAGGACAGCATCACAGCCAGAACCACGTAAAAAATGGCATAAATTGCTGTATTTAATGAAAGGTTTCTGATTAGGGTAGATATGCACACCTGATATGGTAGATATGGTCACCATTTGTTAATGAAGTCCAGATGAAATGTAGCAAACACACTCTCCCTTTTTTATCCTTTTCCCCCCCTCCTTTCTGTGGTCAACAAGTGAAGGCTGATCTACACTAATTCCATTTTTCCATGGCTGTTCAGCACTCCATGCAGATGCCATCAGCAGCAGGGAAGCAAGACAGGAGTAGCCAGAGCTACTCCACTGTTCTGTACTCCAGAGAAAAGCTGAATCCAAGATCCTGCTGGAGCTTCACCTGGAGGTTCTCTGCAGTGTCTCTCAGGAAAAGGTGTTGGGAGCACCTGAGCTTTATCAATGGCTTAAAAGAAGCATTGCACCTCTCCAGAGGAGAGGAATTGCCTGCTCTGAAAGGAATATTGAAGCCAGGCCTCACTAATTAGTTCCCAGTGTTCTTACCCTCTAAATACAGGGTCCCAGGAAAGATTATCTCCAGCACTGACAATGGGACCTATTCCAGGGACTAATTGCTGCTCCCACTTCTATGGACTTCAAAGACCCACCCACCACTGCACAAATACCACAACTGTGTGAGCTCCTTCCTAAAGGAGAGGATTAGGGCATGGGAAGCACTGGGAACTTGCCAGGTTTGTCCCCAGCTGAACTCACCTCACCACTGACACCACACACGTGGGTGGGACATCAACCTTGCACCCCAGAACTTGGGAACTCCTCTGCTAAACCACAGGGCACATCCCCTGAAGAACAAGCACCTTTACTGCTAAAGGCTCCAAAAATAACTGGAGTAAATAAAATTAGGTTTCATTACTTTTGCTTAAGTATGAGAACAAAATAAGAATAAAGGTTCTTCCACCAACTTGTTCCCATCTGTTCTGAAGAGCAGCTCACACTTCCAGCGTTTTCAACTGCACACCAGCATTTCCAGATTCATCTCTAACAAACCCTAAGAAATAAGATCTAAAAATATTTCACAACTGTGTATTTTTGGGGGGTGGGAGGGAAGAAGTGCAAAATAGGAGAGAGAGTTTAGCAAGACAGCTGAGGAGCAGCTGAATCACTGCTGGCACGAGCTCTGCTCCCCATCCTAAGAGTCCTGACAGACCTGAGGCCTCAACGATCCATCGTTAAGGATCTCCCAGGTCAGGCAGTGCTTTGCTTCAGTTAAAACTCCCAGCTCTGAATTCCTCTTCTTTGATCACCTCTATCCCCTTTCTAATCCTGCAAGGTCAGAACATTGTTTACTTTTGGCTTCTTTTAAGCCATTGATAAAGCTCAGGTGCTCCCAACACCTTTTCCTGAGAGACACTGCAGAGAACCTCCAGGTGAAGCTCCAGCAGGATCTTGGATTCAGCTTTTCTCTGGAGTACAGAACAGTGGAGTAGCTCTGGCTACTCCTGTCTTGCTTCCCTGCTGCTGATGGCATCTGCATGGAGTGCTGAACAGCCATGGAAAAATGGAATTAGTGTAGATCAGCCTTCACTTGTTGACCACAGAAAGGAGGGGGGGAAAAGGATAAAAAAGGGAGAGTGTGTTTGCTACATTTCATCTGGACTTCATTAACACTCAGTTCCCAGTTTCTGTCACTGTCTAAACAAGTGTCAGCTGCTCCCTTTACCTTCTAATTTTGCAAGATCCAGGTGGGGCTGAGCATCCCTGTCTGCAGCTGCTGGGGCTCATCCCACTGATCAGCACTTCCTCCATGATTCACAAGATTCACATTTTGTCCTGGTCACGGGATTCTGTCAAAGCTTAACTCCCACCACGTACTCCCAGGAGCAGGAGAAAAGAAATAACTGAACCCTTTCCAACTCAGGCATCACTAGAATACAAAACATTTCTCAAATGACAATCAAAGCTGCTCTTGCCCCAATGGGCTTACTTTCCTAGACTGGATTTAAGAAGAGATAAAACCATGCAAGGCTCTTTACCATGGAAATGAAATGTAAAAAACTATTTTAAGCACAAAGACCCCAGATTCAATTCATGCTTATCCTTCCATCCTAAATAATTCTACTTCTTTACAATGGTTTACACTTGGGCCAGAGACTGCTACAGAGGGTATTTAACTTACAGAAAAATTTAAAAGCAGAGAAATAATAACTACAGGTTCAGAGATGTTGGGAGATGGACAAAGGTCAAAGTGTCAGCTTAAGTGCTGTCACTTAAGAGACCAGGATGCTTCCCCACATTGTGAGGATAAAGGAGTTTTTAGGCTAAAATATAAGGCACAATCACTGAAAAGAAACATGTTTTTAAAGTAGATGTCACTGAATTACAACAGCACAAGGAAAGTGAGCTGGCACCGGGATGCCAAGGGCTGGATGCTGGGAGTGGAATGTCAGCTGATCAGCAAAGATAAAGACTGATTTTGCACATCCCACCCATCACCAACAGACTCATCAACAGCACTAATGAATCCTACTGTGTACAGTTAAAACACACAGTTAATTTATTTACCTATTCTTGTTCAGGCATCTTATATTGCACATGAGAAACAGTCGCTGAAAATCAACATTTCAATCTGTATTTTCAGCACAAAAAGCCAGACAGGGAGATAGAAAAACAAGAACTGCTGTGTACTGGACTGAAGGAATCTCCACAGCATCAACAGAGCTCAACTGGAAAACTGTTCATCCAAGGGAATGAACAGGCAAAGCAATTCCAAAGCCCAGTGACACGTTCACTGATATGTACTGGCCTAACAAAGAAATCCTGGGGTCTCAGCTGAATTTCTGGGAATCATATGCAGGATTATTAGCACTGAAGGAAGAGATGCCAAAGGCTGGTGAAGCCATAGGGAATTCACTGCTCTGTCAGCTCTGGAACTGGTCTCTCCAGGTGAGGGGGAGGCAGATGTGCAGAGCCAACAGGAAAGTTTGGGCTGCCAGGACTTCCCTATCGCAGCCAAACGTGGCTCTACTCCCCTGTGCCACTTTTCAATTCCCTTCTCATAAAAAGGATTAACCTGTGCCTTTCAGAAGCTGCAGTTTGAGCCTGAAACTACAACATTCTTCACTAAACTGTGTTAAAAGACTAAATCCTTCAAGCTTGTCCTGCTGCATCCAACACACTGCAAATGGACATAATTGGGTCACCTCATTCTCCCTTGTTTGCCAGGCACAGGCAACGAAACTTAGTTCTCATTTATTTTTAAGGTGATTCACATGACAGAATAATAAACAACAACGATCTAAATATTACAGCCCAAACTGCCAGCCCAGCTCTGCCCAAGCAATACATGTGAATTTGCAAACATTCCCTCCCTTTCCCAGGCAGGGAAGGAGGTTGGTCAGCCAACAGCTGGGAGAGCTGTGCTGGTGTTCAGCACTTCCCTCCCCACACTCCTGCAGTGGGCTGGGTGAGGATCCCAGGAATTCCTTCTGCTCTGCAAGGCCCAACATGTGGAGTGGGCAGAGCCAAGCATGCCTGACATCCCCACGTGCCTGCTGCCAAACTCATGTCCTGGGCTCTGGGGAGGGGATGTGCAGTCCTGGGCTCTGGGAAGGGGATGTTGAATCCTGGGCTCTGGGAAGGGGATGTTGAATCCTGGGCTCTGGGAAGGGGATGTTGAATCCTGGGCTCTGGGAAGGGGATGTGCAATCCTGGGCTCTGGGAAGGGGATGTGCAGTCCTGGGCTCTGGGAAGGGGATGTGCAGTCCTGGGCTCTGGGAAGGGGATGCTGAATTCTGGGCTCTGGGAAGGGGATGTTGAATCCTGGGCTCTGGGAAGGGGATGTTGAATCCTGGGCTCTGGGAAGGGGATGTTGAATCCTGGGCTCTGGGAAGGGGATGTGCAATCCTGGGCTCTGGGAAGGGGATGTGCAATCCTGGGCTCTGGGAAGGGGATGTGCAGTCCTGGGCTCTGGGAAGGGGATGCTGAATTCTGGGCTCTGGGAAGGGGATGTTGAATTCTGGGCTCTGGGAAGGGGATGTGCAGTCCTGGGCTCTGGGAAGGGGATGTGCAATCCTGGGCTCTGGGAAGGGGATGCTGAATTCTGGGCTCTGGGAAGGGGATGTTGAATTCTGGGCTCTGGGAAGGGGATGTGCAGTCCTGGCCCCCTGGCAAAAGGAGCTCTGAGCATCACCTGCATCCAAACCACTCTGGGTTGAAGCCACACTTTCTAGCAAGGCAGGAAAAGATGAGAGTAAAGCAAACGTGC